CCAGCACTTTGGGAGGCCAAGGCGAGTGGATCACCTGAGGTCAGGAGTTCAAGAGCAGCCTGGCCAACATGACGAAACCCCATCACTATTAAAAATACAAAAAATTAGCTGGGCGTGGTGGCAGTCACCTATAATCCCAGCTACTCCAGAGGCTGAGGCAAGAGAATCACTTGAACCAGGAGGCAGAGGCTGTAGCAAGTTGACATTTCGCCATTGCACTCCAGCTGGGCAACAAGAGCAAAACTTCATCTCCAAAAAAAAAAAAAAAAAAGAAGTCTGTTTGTGTACAGAGACTGAAGCTGAACCATACAAAATATGATTACTTTTATACTTCTTTTTTGGTCTTTTTGCTTTTTTCCTTTTTGTGGAAAACGGGGCCTTGCTATATTGCCAGGCAGGTCTTGAACTCCTGGGCTCAAGCTATCCTCCGCCTCTGCCTCCCTAAGAGCTGGGATTACAGGTGTGAGCCACAGCACCCAGCAAAATATGACTACTTTTTAAAAAATGTTTCAACCAGCTGGGTTTGGTGGTTCACACTTGTAATCCCAGCATTTTGGGAGGTTGATCCCTTGAGCCCAGGAACTGAAGACCAGCCTGGGTAACATGGTGAAACACTGTCTCTACTAAAAATACCAAAACAGGGCTGGGCATAGTGGCTCATACCTGTAATTCCAACACTGTAGGAGGCCAAGGCGGGTGGATCACAAGGTCAAGAGATTGAGACCATCCTGGTCAACATGGTGAAACCTGTCTCTACTAAAAATACTAAAATTAGTTGGGCATGGTGGCATGTGCCTGTAGTCCCAGCTACTCAGGAGGCTGAGGCAGGAGAATTGCTTGAACCCAGGAGGCAAAGGCTGCAGTGAGCCGAGATCGGGCCATTGCACTCCAGCCTGGGTAACAAGAGCGAAACTCCGTTTCAAATAAATAAATAATATATATATATAAATAAAATTTTTTTAAATACCAAAACAAATTAGCAGGGGAGGGTGGGCTGAGGTGGGAGGATTGTACATGGGGAAGGTGGGCTGAGGTGGGCGGACTGCTTGAGCCCAATAGGTCAAGGTTGCAGTCGGCCCTGGTCGTGCCATCACATTCCAGCCTGGGCAGCAAAGAGAGACCCTGTCTCAAAAAAGAAAGAATGTTTTCACCAAAGCTAAAGAACTAAAGTGTAAATGGCACACAGGTGCCTCATGCTCTAGACTCCGCCCACATCTCCAGTCATTCCCAGTCTTTCACTACACATTCCAGTAAGGCAAAACTGCTCATAGGTCCCCAAGTATGCTGATTCACCCTGCCACACTTTCACACAGGAGTATAGTTTGTTGGTTAAAAGCCTGAACACTGGAATCAGGCCTGGATTTAAATCCCAGTTCCATCTCTTGCTAGTTATGTGATCAGACAAGTTAAATTCCCGCAGCCTCGGTTTCTTTATTTATAAAATGGTGATCATATCATTAGAAAGGATTAAATCAGGCAACACATATAAAGTGCTTTACCTAGTTTTTGGCACACAGCGAGCAACAACTATTAGATATCCTTATATTATCTCATGCTATTCACTCTGCCTGAAATTCTCCCTCTCCCTTTCCCATTTAACCTGAATTCCTAAACATCCTTTAAAAATCCGACTTAAAATTTACATCTCTCAAAACTTTCTCTGCCTTTCTTTCCTCCAAGATGATTAATACTCTTTATTAAGTGCAACCCCTGTTTTTTGCATACTTCTACTGCAATTTATTTTATCTTTCTCCCCGACCTGAATGTCTTGAAACCGTTGTCAATTTCTTATTTATTCCCAAATTCCCGGTAACTAAAAAAAGCACCTCAGTAGCTGGACGCGGTGGCTCAGGCCTGTAATCTCAGCACTTTGGGAGGCTAAGGTGGGCAGATCACAAGATCAAGAGATCAAGACCATCCTGGCCACCATGGTGATACCCGGTCTCTATTAAAAATATAAAAATTAGTTGGGCATGGTGGTGTGCACCTGTAGTTCCAGCTACTCAGGAGGCTGAGGGATGAGAATCACTTGAACCCAGGAGGCGGAGGTTGCAGTGAGCCAAGATCGCACCACTGCACTTCAGCCTGGGCAACAGAGCAAGACTCCATCTCAAAAAAAAAAAAAAAGTACCTCAGTAAAGTGTTTATTATTAAACTGAATAGGGGTTGGGTGCGGTGGCTCACGCATGTAATCCCAGCACTTTGGGAGGCCAAGGCAGGAGCATCACCTGAGGTCAGGAGTTCGAGACCAGCCTGGCCAACATGGCCAAATACAAAAATTAGCTGGGCGTGGTGGTGCATGCCTGTAATCCCAGCTACTCGGGTGGTTGAGGCAGGAGAATTACTTGAACCCGAGAGGCAGTGAGCTGAGATCGCGCCACTGAACTGCCACCTGAGCAACAGAGCTAGACTCCCTCTCAAAAAATAATAAATAAATAAAAACTGAATAGGGCCTATATGCAAACCCAATTTAATTTCAAACTCTGTGTTCTTTCCACTACATCCCACCTCCTCCCCTATACCTTCATGGGCATCGGTTGGTTCCGATTAGGTAGTGTCTTATGAGTAAAGTTGCTATTTAATGACAGTGAATTTAAAGGTAGTTTTTTTCTGACCAAACACATTGTTCATTCAGAGAGGTCTTTTAGTAGTAAGTTTTTAACTGCCTTTATGATACACCCACTCTCCTCCCACCCAACTCAGCTCTGGAGTGAGCTCAGACGTGTAAGGCATCCCTGACCCTCAGGAACTCACATTTCAGAGGAATCTCTCTTTCATGCACAACGGTGAAGGGCAGCTTCTCCTGGTCGTCCAGGGGCACTGACTCCCGCGTAAACACGACAGTGACAGGCACCATGAGGCGGAGCTGCAGGAAGGGGCGTCAGGGCCATCACTGAGTCTCCACCTCGCCGGCAGGCTGTCCCCCGACCGTCCCCCACGGCAGTCTCACCTGCAGGGCATTCAACCCACTGATCTGGGAGTAAGGCAACGAGGCCCGGTAGGTCTCCGTGGTCTTCCACCAGAGCGGCAGTCCCAGAACGATGGCCACCGCAGCGAAGAAGAGGGCGGCGCGCTTGCCCCGGACCACCTCTGAGGGCATGGGGAACAGACTGAGGCGCCGGAAACGGGCTAGGATGCCGGCCCCCTCCCCGACGCGAAGCCCCGACCACCGGCATCCAGGGGCCAGCGTTCATTGGGATCCCGGTGAGAATGGACCCGGCCCAAGCCTGAAGGCAATCCCATCTGAAAAGACCCCCCGATCCCCCGTCCGCGGGACCTCTCGCACACCACAATCCCCATCCCTGCGTTCCTCCTTTGGCATCAGCGAGCTGCAAGCTCCCACCCGAAGCCCACCGCACCTAGGTCTGTAGCCGCGGCCCCAGCAGCCGCCATGGTGGCTTCCGGCTGCTCCGGCCGCCGGGGGCGGAACTTCGTGACCCTCACCCAATCGGAATCTCTTCAATGAGGGGGCGGGACCGCAGCGGTGATCGGGGCCAATCGAGAGCGGCACTCCAGAGGAGGCGGGAGCAAGCAGGCAAGGGATGGGCGGGCTCCACTGGGAGCCCTGCTGGAGGTCTGAAAGCAGGTCACCCTGACGCCGAGAGGTGGTTGAGGTACTGTGCGGGTTTCGGCACTGCTAGAACGAAGTCCCCCGATTCCCTATAGAACACACTCCTAGTGTGTGCCCGCGATTAAGAGGGCAACCTCTGCAGTAGTTAAATAATAGCTGGACAACTACAGGCAGCTCCGAGGCTCAATTGTCTCATGTGAAAATGGAGATATTTACTTAAATGAGGCCGTTCTTGTAAGGAGCCTGGCACACGGAAAGCCCTCAAAGGTCAGCTGTCACGGTTTTATCATTCTTATCTTAGAGCTCCTCTTGGGGCGCCCTCTCCTCAAGCCTCAAACATGGAGGTAGCAAGCTAGTACGTTTTAGCATGATTGGCTCTCTCGCTATTTTAAAATTCATTTTAATTCATTTTCAACTTGGAAAACTCAGGATACTTCACTTCAAAATCTTGAAAATTTATGAGCCCAAACTCTGGATCCTGATCATTGCGGTTCAAATCCTGGCTTCATCACTTATTAGGTTAGTGATCTTGAGAAGATCCCTCTGTGTCTTTCTTGGTCTGTTTTCTCTATTAAAATAGGGAGGATAGTAATAGTACCTACTTTATAGAGTTGTATGAAATGCGTGAATACATATAAAGTGATTAGAACAGGGTTGGTGCTATGTGCAAGCTATTTTTGTTATTATAAGGTCAGGCCACACAGGGTGGAGCATTTGTAGCCTCCCCAGCTGACACAGAACAAACACAGCTTTTTATCTGCTTAGGTAGTCCCAGGTTCTCAGCCTATCTCACACCCCACCAGTGGCACGAGGCTTCATCAGAGCTGTCCTTACTCAGACCCTCAAATTGCCACCCTTGTACCCACTTCTACCCCAAATGAGAATGGGCCATAGCCCTTGGCAGCCTCCTAGATGCCCTGCTCAGCCCTGGCAGCCCGCAGAGCCTTTGGAGTTTCCCTCTTTGGGCCGGAGTCCAAATGCTCCCTCGCCCTTCCTGGTGTGGCTCCCCCTAGCGGAATGCGTCAGGGCCCAGCTGGGCTCAACACTGGAAGATAGGAGAGACTGCCACTCACTCTTACCCCAGCCTGTCCTGCTGCCTCCCTGCTTTGAGCCTTGCACAAATCTGCCTCCAGGAGTTGCCAGTCTGGCCTCACTCCATCCTTCTGTAGCTTTAGCCTAGTGTCACTGATGTGGCATTCCCTAGAAGACTTGCAGTCTTCCTCAGTGCCCCGCTCCAGACCTGGACATCAAGGGAGCAAGAGCCTGAGCTGGGGATGGTAATTGCATGTGCCCTTCCTCCATAAACTCGAAGCCCAGTAAAACTCAAATCCCACCCTCTCCACCCCCAGAGTCAGAGGGCCCTAAGATAGAATCAGCAGAGATCAGAAACTGGGAGGTGGGAATTTGATGTGTAAAACAGGCAAAGTAGCATGTTCTGCTGCCATTTATTTGCTGTATAATATGTACTCAAGGCATGAGCGAGGCTTCTGTACTACCCCCTGATACCAGGAGAGAGGGCAGGCAAGAAGGTGAACCCAAGGAGAAGCTACCACATCATGGGAAAATTGTGAGAGCTGGCAGAGGTAGGGGGAGACTCAGCCATCCTGCTCTGACTTCTAGCAATTTCTTCTGCCCTCAGTCATGAGGAGCACCCTATCCTCCCATCCTATGATCCCAGGTGCAGCAATGAGAGAGGGAAAGGGAGGGGAGAAAAGGAAGACAAGCCAGTGCCAGATGAAGGCATCTCTGCTCTGCATAGCTATTTGGCCTTGGCCATGACTACAAGCAAAAGTGGGTGCACACGGCAGGGCCAAGGGCTGTGGGATGGAGTGGATACTCAGTAGGCATGGTTGGCAATGTAGAGGGACTGTGCTGCTGCTCCACCATCTTCTCCACTGCCTTCATACTTGCCCTGGGCTGCAAGGCCATTCACCTGCAAACGGGAGTGTGGAGTAAGCAGGCTGAGCCAGCCCACAGGTGCCAAGCCCTGCCGAGGCTATAGTCTCTGGGTGCTGTCCACCACCCACCACCACCTCTAGCTCCCAACCTCGGCCCGCTTGATGAACTCCTCAGTGGCAGCTCCAGCATTGTCCTGTTGCCCTCGCCAGGCATTGAGTGCAGAGGCTTGCAGGGCACGCCCATAGGAGAAGGTAAGCGCCCAGGGCCGGGGAAGGGGGCAGCGGTTGATGGCATTGAGGTTGAGTGATGCCTCCTCTTCGCTCTGGCCCCCAGACAGGAAGGTTACTCCTAGGGTTGAGGAGAGAAACAAACTGACTGGTCACTCCCAATTTTTCCCAGGTAGGGAATCCCTGAAGGCCACAAGAAGGACCTGAAGATGGGCCTTAGGGATAGGAGCAGGTTAAGGAGGTGGGTAGTACCTGGGACAGCTGGGGGCACAGTGCGACGCAGGGCAGTGACAGTTGCCATGGCAATCTCCTCTGGGGTATACTTGATGGGACAGGCATGGCCAGGGGTCACCATGTTGGGCTTGAGCAGGGTCCCCTCCAGGTACACATGATGGTCACTCAGGGCCTTGTACACAGCAGCCAAGACCTGGGTGGGGATTAGAGGAGGTTTACTAAGGGTCTGGGCCCCCACTGGTTACTACATAATGCTCCCTATCTAGGGGTAGATGGGCACGGACTGCGAGGGCTCAGTGCAGGCTCAGATCACAAGCCTGTGCCAGGATCAAGTGAAAAAGTACTAGGAGAAAGTATGCCTGGATCTAAGCCGGGGGCTCCAGGGAACAGGCACTCCTGCCGAGCTGTTCCTGCAGTATGTTTGTGTGTGAACTTACCTTCTCTGTAACATACTGACAACGTTTGAGGTCATGGTCTCCGTCAGGCAGTATTTCAGGTTCCACAATAGGCACAATGCCATTCTGCAGGCAAGAGCAGAGATGCTTGGGAGGGGCAGTAGGGGAGACAGAGAAAGCCCTGTAACTCTCTCCCCACCAGGCACACAGAGCACCTAGCTGACCATCCTCCCGACACACACACCTGCTGGCAGATACTGGCATAACGGGCCAGCACATTGGCATTCTCCAGAATGGCAAGTGCAGAGGGTGTGCGCTCACTGATTTTCAGCACACAGCGCCACTTGGCAAAGTCAGCACCATCCTTCTTGTACTGGGCACAGCGTTCTGAGAGCCCATCCAGCCCTGCAAGCACAGTGCCAACCTCATCACCCTGCCCTTCTTTACCAGCATCAACTATCTAACACCTCTTTGGTCCTCAAGCCCACCCACCCTATACCTTGAGTGGTAGTTTCTCCATCAGTCCCAGCTAGAGGCACCACACCCTTGTCAACCTATAGGGAAAACACAAGCAGAGGGTTGAATCCAGGCAGGATTCCCCTCGCTACCTCTCCTACACAAGCCTATTTTCACACCCAGCTTCCATTCAGAGCAGGGCTGGGGGCTGCACCTTAATGCCCACGACGATGCCCTTATCCTGGATTGTTTGGACGAAGGGAACACCATTGTCATCTTTCTGGTAGAGGGTCTCATGGAAGAAAATGACACCTCCAATGCACTTCTTCACACGGTCATCAGCACTGAACAGGACCTGGCGGTACAGCCTGCGATTCTCCTCTGTGTTCTCCACTCCAATTTGGCTCAGCCGCTTTGCCATGCTGCCTGGGGGCAAACAAAGAGAGGCAGCAAAAACATCTCCAGGGTCCCCTAGCCACCTGTACCCTACCTGGCTACAGATGTTCACCTACCTACAGACTCATCTGCAGCCAGAATCCCTTTGCCCGGAGCTACAATCCGGAGGGCAATGTCAGACAACTCCTTCTTCTGCTCAGCAGAAAGGACTGGGTATGAGTGAGGCATGGTGACTGGAGTGGAGCTCCCTGGAGTAGAGACAAGATAAAAAAGCCAGCCCTCATCCATTACCTCCTCCACTGCCTCTCCTGGCCAGATGGACCAAATGGTCTCCCCCATCAAACATGGGGCTGGGAACAGGGCAGCAGTTCTTGGCATGAGTCCTCGGCATCAAAGTGGCACCAATCCCTCTGACAGCTAGCAAGCTTAGGGCTCCAGATCCAACATCTCCTTTTGTCCCTGGTGGGCACCCTTCCCAGCCCTGGGGAAAGATGCAGGGTGGGGGTGGGGAGGTGAGCAGCTCTGAAGCCACAGGTCTTTTGATGAATCTGCTGCCCATTCGAGGATGCCAACCCTCCTTTCACTGAACTTGGCCCCTTGTTGAGGTAGGCAGAAGCCCTGGCCTTTCCAGCTTTCCTTTTCTCATCCTCCACAGGAGCCCTAGGGAAAGTGTACTTACTTCCAAGGCTTCAGAATGAGGCAGAAGTACTTATTGCCACCCTCTTCTCTCAGCTGCTAGAGGAAAAGGTTGGGAGGAAGAACAGCTAGAGAGTAGGAGTGGCCGTAGCTGCTTCTCTGTACTCCAAACCTGCCTGCCGATGCCTATTGCCTACTCCTACCCAATACCGGAAGTTGGCCTCAGTGGGGCTGCAGTGTTGTAGGAAAGACGGCCAGCAGGTCAGCTGCGTTAGTGTGTGGAGACAGGGTTAGTGACACCTCCAGGTCATCTCCATCCCTCTCTGTGGATGGAGGGATAGCAATAGCAAGCACTTCAATTCCCCACACTCAGACACCCAGACCGAAGGGCAGAGGACCAAGGCTGAAAGGAGTAGAGAGCCTGAGAGAGAGATAAGACTGAGGGGAGGTAATGGTGACGCAGGCTAAACAGTCAGTGAGAGACCTAGATCGGGGGCAGAGAAGGCGGGAGAACTGGAGAGAGGACCTAGCCTAGGAGGAGAGGGAGCAGGCAGAGAAGGAAATGCTCTGGGTAGGAGAGGCAGACTCCAAGGAAAAATTCAACAAGTAGAGGAGGCTTTGGGTTTGGAAAAGCTGAGGTCCAGGTGGGAGAGTTGAGGTGGGATAGAACGGGAGAAGTTGAGCCACGGGGTTTCAGGTGCGCGGAAAGGAGCAAAGATGTCAGGAAAGAGTCGAAAGGGCACATCCAAGAGCCCCAGGGAGCAGGATGAAGATGGCAGGGGAAGAGCCAAGGAGACGAAGCGGAGATGCTGAGCGGCTCCCGCCTCGCCTGGCCTGGCCTTACCTGTGCGCAGCCAGTTAGCAGCGGCAGCCACAAGCACTGCTTGGGTTCTGATCAGCAAACTGATGTGGCTGCAGCCCTAGCTCGCTCTGGTAAATGAGGCTGCGGATGCCGCAGAGCTACGTGACTCCTCCGGGGGCGGGGCGGGGCCTGCCCGCCCTGCCCTGGCCACGCCCCCTACACCAGGACTGGTGTCCGGAGCAAGACCACGCCCACTGAGGCGGGGCGGCGAGGAGTGAGTGCCCCGCCCGGCATCTGCGGCTGTTAGGGACTGCCCTTCCACCTCGTCGGGCCTCGCCACTAGGGCCCGAGAGGCTGGAAATGACTTTGCATTCATTTCTGCCACAATCCCTTTAACACGTGCTGGGCAATTGCTGGATGTTGGGGATTAAGATTGGTCTGGTGAAGAGGAGGCACCGAAACATTAACAGGTTGGGTAGGTGGGGCAGAGGCATCATCAAGGTGCCCAAATTCAGGGCAGGAAGTAATGAATTGAGCTTCTCTGTCCTCACCCTATTTGCCAGGGCATACTCCTGAGGGGGCTGGGGAAAGTAACAGAATGAAGCCATTCTGTTTCCCCCAGGCGATGAGCCAGGGAACACGCAGTCCGGTGCCCAGAGTTTTGGAGAAAGCAAGGGAAGGGAGGAAGGGCAGGCAGCCTTGGCTTTGGAGGCAGCAGGAGGTGGAGAGGGATCTGTGGAGGGTGCCCAGGCAGGAGGGCCAAGCTGCCTATTCCCTGATTTAATCTGTCCCATCTCACCCAAAAAATAAGATTCAGTAAGCTTGGAGAAATCCATTAAATACACTTTATTTGAATAGTATTAAACTCAGTTGGTCTATGCCAGTTGGTCTTGGTATTGGGGTAAGGGGGTATTGCAGGTAAAAGGGGGTGAAGCAGATTCTGGCTTTCAGTTTCTTAGCTCAGAAATTCCAGCAATCCCTGTAGCTCTTTGCATCCCCTCACCACCTCTGGAATAGAGAGCAGGGTCTGGGAAGAGAGGCAGAAAAAGCAACTCAGGATCACAGGCCTAAGGCTCAAGGCTCCCAGCCCCAGGAGGCAGCCACTGAATTAGACGGGAGAAAACAGACACCACAGAGAACCCTGCAATAGTTATTCAGGCCCAGCTCTCAGCACAGGCTGGAAACCAGAACTGTGCTCATCAGTACCCCCTGGGGCCAGGCCTTGTACCAGGTGGCTTAGTTATATCACCTCCCTTGTTCCTATACCTTATAAATATGCTGAACAATGTCATCTAGTTTTTCTAACTCCTTGTCAGAGCGCCGAAGGTTCTCCTCTAGGATATTTCTCTAGAAAGCAAACAGATTTCATAAGTCCTATGCTTAAAAGAACCAGAAAAGCTTGGTAGGATAGGGGAAACATGGCAGGGCATTTGTTAACAAAGGTAGGAAATGCCCTGGAATGGCACGGACATTCTTACATGGCTCTGGAACTTGATCATGAGTTTTTCCTTCTCATTTTTCATCTCCAAGAACATAACTCTCAGTTTGTCCACCTAGAAATATGTCCAGATCAACAGGGGTACAGCCTGGCGTCCCCACCTGCTGCCCAGCTCCTCTGTTAACTCTGAGTCACCTCCTGAGAGAGCCACACTTTCTCCTGAATCCAACTGGTGGCCATGGGCTGGCAGTTGGAGTCCAGCTGGCCTGCCAGAGCCTCCTGGAGCACTTTGGTCTCTGTCTCTGCACGCCGAAGTGAGCGGGTAAGGTGGGTCACCTCCTCTCTAAGGCTCTGGGAATGAGAATGGAGAGGTGTCCAATAGAACATAAGAAGAATAGGCAACATGTGGTGAACATAAGTAAACCAGGAATCCACTTCTCATATTTGGGATCCTGGCTAGCGGTAACACAGAAGGCAAAGGCATGGGCATGATGAACATACTATGAGCTCGCCGCTCTTGTCTATCTGTTCTAGGATCTTCTCATTCTGCTGCTGTATCACTTCCTGGAGTTCCTTTTCATTCTGTGAGGAAAGGGAGGTGAGAAGACACAGGGAGAGCTGGTTTCTTCAGAGCCCTTGCCAGGAGATAGAAGAGAGTGCCTGACCCATGCTCAGCCCACATGAGACCAATTGGTATCACTCCAATTCTTCCTCCAGGGCCAAGTCAGGCAAGGCACATTTCAGTGTTGGGAGAGTTCTGCTAGAGTTCCTGATTTTTCTCCTGGGTCGGCCTAGGAAGATAGGTCAGCCCATAGCTGATATGTGAAATGTCTGACCCCAGGAAGGGCAAAACTAGGGCAGTGGTTGGAAAATCCCTACCACCCAGATTCCTGGAGAGATAATGGGTCCCAGTAGGCCAGTAGAGCTGCCCCAGTTCTTCATCGCCCCACTTCTAGGTCCCTCCTTCACCTTGTAGCGCAAGCACAAGGCCTGGTTCAGCTTCTCTATGTCTGCTTCCTTTGCCTTCTGGGCTTCCTGATGCTGCTCCTCCTCGGCCTGCAGCCTAGCCTGCAGCTCACAACTGGAGGAGGGAAGAATTCAGCAACATTCCTGTCCTCTCAGGGGCCAGCTGGACCCTTGGCATGCATAAGAGGCTGTGTCACTGTCCCTCTGTCACCAAAGCTGCATCCCACTCACATTTTTCGCTGCAGAGTCCTGATGGCTTCTTCTTTAGACTCTTGTAGCAGGGAACAAAGACTCTGAAGCTCAATAGTCATAATACTCATTTCTGCCAGGCTCTCCTCCATGCCCAGGGTCTCTGAAAGAGAAAGTCCCAGATAGAGATGTAGCCTTCCAGCCCTGGAAGGAAGGAGTATATAGCCATCATTTCTACAACTCTTATCCGTGTTCCCCACCCACAGGATTTGTATGTCTGGAACATTACAGATCCCAGAAGGCAGAAATAAAATGAGCCCAAGTAGAATTGAGGTTTTTAGAGCAAAGCACTTCTCACTGCTTTCGTCTTTACTCATCACCACCAGATTTTCTAGAAACGAGGCAGGATCCCCGGAGCCACTCCTAACCTGCAGGCTGAAGGGAAACCATTGATGCTACTCGGGTGAAAGCACTCTTATCACTTCCAAGCAAGGGCACAGGAGCTGATTCTGGCTCTACGAGAAAAACCAACTATGGGAGAGGGCTCCTCTGGTGACCCAGTCAGGAGTCTACCATAATGGAAGCCAGAGAAAGATAGACAAGCCCACTGATGGGCATCTTCAACAGCTGAAGATATTGACAACAGTCACAACTTTCCCACCCCCAAATCCCAGGTCCTTTAACCTTCAGCTGCCACTGCTATCAAGATGCTTCCCAAGAAGGTGCTGTCATTGGGCAGAGGGCGTTCCTGGGTGGGAGCACAGACCGTGCTCAGCAGAAGGGTCTCTTGTTCAGTCTAAGGGCAAAAAAGAAAAAATAGCTGCTGCTCAGGTCTAGTGAATTCCTGGGCTTCCAGGTAACTCCCAGCCATCTCCTCCAAAATGCTGTCCCACCTATTACCTCAATTCTCTATCTTCCACTTCCCCATTAGTACCTTTCCCCAAACATGTTTATATTCTTAAGCTTCTCCCACAAAAGCAACAGTATTTTAAAAACAAACCTAAACAAAACAAAACAAAAACCCTTCTTCTTACCTTAAATCCCCTTTTAGCTACTGCCTTTTCTTTCCAGAAAGGAAGGGAGAGACGGAGGGAGAGAGAGAGGGAGGGAGGGAGGGAGGGAGGGAGGAAGGAAGGAAGGAAGGAAGGAAGGAAGGAAGGAAGGAAGGAAGGAAGGAAGGAAAGAAGGGAGGGAGAGAGGGAGGGAGGGAGGGAGGGAGGGAAGGAAGGAAGAAAGGGAGGGAAGGAAGGAGCGAGCCAGGCACGGTGGGGTGGCTCACGCCTGTAATACCAGCACTTGGGGAAGCTTAGGTGGGAGGATCACAAGGTCAGATATTCGAGACCAGCCTGGCCAATATGGTGAAACCCTGTCTCTACTAAAAATACAAAAATTAGCTGGGCATGGTGGCACATACCTGTAGTTGCAGCTACTCGGGAGGCTGAGACAGAAGAATCGCTTGAACCCAGGAGATGGAGGTTGCAGTGAGCTGACATCGTGCCACTGCACTCCAGCCTGGGAGACAGAGTGAGACTCCATCTCAAAAAAAAAAGAAAAGAAAGGAAAGGAAGGGAAGGGGAAGGAAAGGAGCCTATACTTCTTGCTTATAATTCTCACCATCTATTGACTCCCCAGCCCAGTACACTCAAGTTTCTGCCCTGTCATTCCACCTAAATCATTGTCAGTTGGTTCACCAATGGCAGCCTTACGTTCAAATGCGATGCATACATTTCAGCTCTTGTTTTACCTGACCTATTTGATATTGATGACCACATTGTTCTTTTAGAAACTGCTTTTTCTTAGCTTCCAGGACATGAGTCTCTCTCCCTTAAAGGCAGGCCTCACACCTTTCTGTTTATTTCTTCTCTATCCACAGGTCCTTCCTTAACTGTTGGATCCTCTGGGTTTAGTCCCTGGCCCTCAATTTACTCTGATTCATTCCCAGCATGGCCTTACCTCGGGAGCACCACAAAAATATCTACTTCAAACTTCCCTTCCACATGAATGACTCTTCAATCCTCAACTGGATTTTTTCCCAGTGTGCAGACTCAAAGGTTAACTGCCTGTGAAGAATCTACCAGAAGGTTCCACAGTCAATCTGTCAACTTTAAAGCTGAGTTCACCATTTTCCCTGTGCCACCCTATCAGAAGTCCGTTCCTATTCCCGTATTTGTAGGGGGAGGGAAGGCTAGCAAAGGCCTACAGGTCAGATCTAGCCTGCCAACTGTTTTTGCCTGGAATGCAGCCAGACCCATTCATTTACACATAGTCTATGGCTGCTCTTGAACTACAAAGGCACAGTTGAGTAATTGAGACAGAGACCATATGGCCCAAAAAGCCAAAAAATACTTATTATATGGCCATTTATAGGAAAAGCTTGCTGGCCTCAGTTCCGGGGGAGAGTGTCACCATTATTCTTTACTTTTTTCTTTTCTTTTTTTGAGACGGAGTTTTGCTCTTGTTGCCCAGGCTAGAATGAAATGGCAAGATTTCAGGGCAACCTCTACCTCCCGAGTTCACACGATTCTCCTGCCTCAGCCTTCCAAGTTGCTGGGATTACAGGCACCTGCCACCACGCCCAGCT